TCTGTTGATAAAAAGAGATATTTCTTCCCAGAGACACTCCCTATGCTGCTTTGTTAAAGTCCCATCCCCTCGCCACCTCTTAAAGCAACCAACTGTTTGCAGAAGATTCTACAAGCACACAGTCCATCTTCATTCAGTAACGCAAGGTCCATTACGAGGAAAGACAAGGCCTGAAATGAAGTAAATCTACATCAAATTGACTGCAAGGCAAGCATAAGCACAGGTTGATTGCACAAAACAACTAGCATAAATTGTTCTCGCTGAATAACCTGGCGTGCAGTAACAGGAGTAGGGGGCTATGCAGACACATAAGCCCTACAGTCTACTCTGCAGTTGTCCACTAAACACAGCTGTACTGCCTTCTCCAGTTCTATCCTGCTTCCTCAATTTGCACCCAGTATACCTCAATATGATCTAACTGACAGCAGTCAGACCTCAAGTCCCTCTCCAACCAAAACTGTTTCTGACAACAGGCTCCTACTAGCCCACATTTCTTGCCATAACATGGTTCAGCTTGTTTAGCAGCTTTCATTCTCCAATTTTAACTTTCTGAGATTATCTCCCCATTCTTTGTGTTATATGACTGCTTGAAGGTATATTGTCAGGGCCCTTGAATACTTCTCTTCTACAGCACACATCATATACCTAGAAGTAACATTTCTATAGGAACTGAGGGTTTTTCTCATATAACTACTCTTGACATCCAACTCACATTATGCTTTCCCCATTTATATTAGAGGTAATAACAGCATAGCAACAGTCAAATAAAAAGTGCCAAATGGAAATAAGGCATACTATTTGCATCTGTTTATCATGCAAACAACAAAAATGCCTGCAGGACAGAGAAGTAAAGCGTGTTTAGGAAGGCTTAAGGGAAGACTCAGAACAACTACAAGGGCAATTACAAATTACAAGAGCGAGTTTATTAGTTCAGCTCTACAAAATATTAAAAACGAGTTAAGGGCACTTTTGAGCCATGGAAATAACCATTATTTATGAATAAAGAGCCTAAATAACCTAAAAGTATTATTTCTTTTATATTCTGAGAATACTAGGGTGGGGTTTTTTTCTTCCTTTCCTAGTTCATGTTCTTAGATTGTGCCTCACTCTAATAACTAATTGTGTGTATAAGCATCTGCTGGATAAAACTGAACACAGAAACTTTGAAAGTGACTCTGTCATGATTTAGTTATGTAATATTTACCAGTGTATTCATATCCGAATAGCAGTCTATACCTGGTATATTATTTTGCTCAGTGTATAATTTGATGGGGTTGATAGAAATATGTGGGTTCTACAACTTCACAGTATTCAACCTATGGACCAAACCCAAGTCCAAAATCTATTAGTGGACTTCAATGGCTAAAATAATCTTCACTTACAAATTTATATGCATAATCCATCTTTTTGAGAGTTTTCTTGTGAAAGGACACACTCTTTCACAACCTCTAGTTGATATACAAGACTAACATTGCATTTTACACTGCCTTTATGGGATAATGATTATTCAAGTGTGACTGAAAGGATTTCAAGGTCATTTGTATTAATTTGTGTTCTTAGTCTATGTTGATTTCTTACATTATGATAAAAGAGAAGCCTCGAGTTGAAAATGCGCATGACATTGTTTCAGTTCCACAGATTAACTTATTTTCATATTGCTTTGAAAGGATTCATCGCATAATCTCTTTCACCAATATGCAAAACTATATCAAGAAAACAAAGTCAACAGAAATACTTTACTTCCAAG